GCTCCATCCCCCTTGCGTGGCTTTTGTTGTGCATGAGTTTGACTGCACAGGGTTTGGTTGTGAAGGGTTTGCTTATGGGTTTGCTAATTTTATCTGTGCACAGTTTTCATTCTACATTGTTTTCGTTGTGCATGCTTTGGTTGTGCATGACAATTTCTTGCAGCTGCTCCCCATTGCAGGCCTTGCAAGGAATAGGTGCCACAGAATCACACCAGCTGTACTCAGTCAGCACTGAGGAGCACAGCTCATTTAAGTGCTGCCCACCACAGCAATCAGCTTGCTCACTCAGTTTTCCTGCAAGCCCTTTCCTGGCTGCTTGAAGTTCTCTATGACCTTTGCATCTTTGCAGAATGCCCCTTGGCAGAAAGGAGTAGGTAAGCAAAGCCCTTTGGTTGGGCAGGGGCATGCTCTAGTTGTGCAGCATGGCTCTGCTCTTCTGTACTCCCCCTGACCTTTTGCTTTCTCCTCTCTAGGTGTTGCTTTGTTGTTTTTTTTTTCCTCTTTCTTCTTTTGCTCCTCTATGTGCAGTTCCCCACTGCTGTGTGTATAGTGTTGGGATGTATTCAGGTGCACTCGCATGACCATGCTGCCTCATTGCATCAGCACCTGTGGTTCTGTCCAGCTATGCATTCAGCATTGCACAGAGCTTTGTGGGTGCAAAACATCCCTTACAATTTCACTGCCACCACTGCTGGATGCTATGTGTGCTATGCGTTTTGTAGATGCATGCATTGCCCTGTAGGTGCGTGCAGTGCATTTGGTAGGTGCAAAGGCGTGCAAACAGCCTGCAAAAGTTTTGGCATTTGGGGACCACTTTGCCAACTTCTGTCTTTATTGCAGCTTTTGCAGAGCTCTTTTGGGTGCCCAGCAGGAAGGCTTTCAGTCCTTGCTGTGAAGCTTTTGGGATGACCTCTGGAGAAGCTCAGAAGCTACGATTTACTGTTAATGATTATTTTCCACACATGAAAAAAAAAACAAGAAAAATTAACTTGAATTTGCATTGTGGCAGCTGGATTGCTGTTACCCAGCCCTGAGAAAACAGACCGGTTGGGGCCAAAGTCCTCTCTGCTGCACTGCTCTTGTTCCCACATACGCTCCGTGGGTGCAAGGCAGCAAGCAGCAATGCCATTACCTGCAGGAAAAGATGTTTTTGGTTCTATTGAGTCACCCAAAGGGCACGGGTAGTGATTATATATTTTTTGCTGGGCTTGTCCATCCGGTTGGGGCTGGGACTGGCCTTGCAGCCACCGCCTGCGTTTTCAAAGAGGCGTTGTGCAGAGGTGTGGCGGCGGGGTGTGCCGAGGGGGGGCTTTCCTGTGCTGGGAAAACACAGCCCTACTGCTGATGAAACAGGTGAGGTTGGGGGAAATTTGTAGCATTAAATGCATGTGTGCATGGGGTGGCCTTTGCGTTGCTTTGACTTACTGGGTCTGGTCTGTATGTTGCTTGGAGGGTGTTTGGGGGGGGGGGTGGTGGTTAGGATGAGACGTGTGGTGAGTTTGGTGCCGAGATTTGCTGGGCCAATGGGTGTGAGAGTGGGTTGGCAGTGATTTTGCAGTGTTTGATTGGGGTCAGGAGGCATTGCTGTCTGCTCCCAAACATTCCGTCTGTAATGTTCTTGAGATTGGGGGGGGGGGAAGGACTATCCTCCTCTGCCTGGAGCCAGAAACCAGCAGCTGCCCTGGGAATGGGAAAGAGATGAGGCTGCAAATCCTGCACATGGCACCACATTGCAGCTTTGGGGAAAATACCCTCAAAATAGGATTGTGGTGCACTTCATGTGGATAGCAGCTGCATTTTGGGGGCTGCAATCTGCAGCAAATGGTTTAGGGGTAAGAAACTTGATGAGAAAATACTTTTCTCTTAGAAATTTGGGGACACACTCTGTAACCTCCCCTGCACTCCCAGTTTTGCTCCAGGCTAGACTGGGAGGTCTTTTTGCACAAATGATATGCTCAGCAGTGAGAGGGTTAACAGGGCTGCAGCATGCAAAAGGGTTAAAAGTCAGTTTGGAGGGGGGCGGGGGGCAAGGGGGACCATATCCAGATTGGATTGGTAGCAGCAAGGGTGTAAATCAGCGATGCTTTGGGAAAAGAGAAGGGAAAGGGGGGGGGGAACTGCCCAAATCCCAGCATCCCTCGCTGCCCAGCACTCCCAGCTCCGCCAGCCCCAGCGCCGCCTGCCTGCGGCCCCAGCTGGGAGCCCCCAGCCCAACCATGGGGACCTTTCTATGGGGCTGGAGGGGGTGTGGGCAGCCTTAGGGCCCCCACCTCCTGCTGCTGCCCTCGCTGCCATCCTGCTTGGCCGATGCGGACACAAAGGCAGAGGAGACACGGCCTTCCCAGGTCAGCACAGCCCTCTCCCCTTCCCCCCTCTTCCCATTCCCTCTCTATGTGTACTTGCGCTTATGTGACCCCATGTACCCATAATCTTAAATTTATTGAAGTGTGGTGGCCCTTCTGTAGGCAGGAGGTAGCCTCGTACCTACTCTCCTTTTGCAAGCAGTTGGGGTTTGCTGCAGGAAAAAGCTTTCCCTTTCTATTTATTTATTGTTATTGCATATAGATATGTAGGGTTGAGAATAGGGAGGGTGGGAGGAGGAGGAGGATGCTGAGCGTTGGCCCTTATTGCTGCTGCACAGTGCCATTCCTGCACCCATTTCTGTCCTAATCCTCCCTGTTTTCTGCACTGTTTGCAAATCGTGCAATGCTTGCGGGCCCCCCACATGTAAGCACAGCATTGGGGTGCTGAGCACCAACTCCTGGAGCTGTGTTGCTTTGGTGGCGCAATTGAATTGCAGGGTTTGCACCCACGCATGCCTGCATTGTTTTCTAGTTTATTTTTTTCCTGCAGATTTGGAAGAAAACGCCCCAAATTTCTGTAGGGTTTTGAGCAGCTCCAAAGCTGTTTGTGATGTTTTTTGGTTTTTTTTTTTTTGACAACAAGAAGGGCTTCTCCTTTATATATAATATTCCTCAGTGGTTATATTAATGCATGCTTTGCTAAGGTCAGCAAATACAATGCTTGATGCTAATTGCACTTTTCCCCGTTTGTGATTTGGGGTTTTTTTGGAGGGGGGGGTTGCACTGGAGGGCATGGTGTGGTGTATGCTGCAGAGACACAAAGTTTGCAAAGGAGATGGAGGTGTGTTTTATTTCTGAGCTCTGTTTCGGTCAGCCTGCTGGGTGTGCAAAGCAAGATTTGCCCAAAATATTGGGGGAAACAGAAAAAAAGAGGAAAAATAGGGCAGAAAAAAAGGCTTCTTATGATGTGCTGGCATGTATGTTGGCAAAGCAGTTCTGCGTGGGGGAGAAATGAAGGCAGCTGGGGACTCAAATTTGTTGTCATCTTCAGCTCTGATTTTGGGAATGCTCTTATGTTTAAAAAAAAAAAAAAAGGCAAAAACATTTTCTGCTTTGTGTGTTTTTTTTTTTTTTAATGTCTTTTTAAGCATCATAATTCTGATTTTCACTTTTTTTTTTTTTGTTTGCAGATTTTTTTGGGGTTGTTTTTTGTGTTGCATTTGCACTTCTCATGGTGTACGGTGGCCAAGGAATGAATTTTCCGGTTGATCAGAGATACTGAAAAGCAAAATAAAAAGGAAATTGGGAACAGCACAGTGCTGAGGCTGTGGGTTCTGCCTGGAAACACAGCAGAGGGATGTGTGCCCCAAAAAGAGCCACTCTGCAGCAGAAATGCAAACATTTTTCCCATCTTTTTCCCATCCACCAAAGCCTTTTGGTAACCGTGAGCTGATAAGAAAAGGAAAAAGTGTTGAATTCTGAATTTTCATTTGGTTGAATTTTGGGTGCAGAAAACCTCAGAGTGATAATCTGGGGGATAAAATGCCTCTTTCTGCCTTATTTCACCCACAATACTCATTCAACATCCCTTTCTGGCTGTCATCACTAATGCTTGGCCCCAAGATCCCGGATTTGAGTACTTGGAAAGCACAGGGCAACTCTTCCCCGTTGCACTCATTCCTAAACGGAAGTTTTAGAATCGCTTAGAGGCCCTTCTGTCTCTCCACCTCACTCTGGAAGTGTGAGGATTTCTACATGTGGCCCTTAAGTGCATGGGCCCAACTGGTTCTCAAAGTGCAGCTGTGACAGGCACCTCCGTGTAATATCCAATGCTACATATTGTCTTAGACCCAACTGGTGCTTAAAGCAAACTCTGCTTGCGCCTACTGTTGAGATCCCCATCTTACATTGTATTATAATGTTAATATTTTAACACAAGGTGTGGGTGATGCTCTCCATGAAAATGCTCCCGGTTTTCCAACTTCCACCTCTATTTTTTGGGGTGGAGCAAAGCTCAGCTTCCCAAGGGCAGCCCAGAGGTGGTAGTGGGAACACAGGCATGCGTCCCACGGGCAGGAGGAAGCAATAAGGAGGTGGATGAGGAAGCAGCAGCGGATCCTTATTGCTGCCTACACCCATTTTTATGGGTGATTTATGGGCTGGGGCTGGAGCACTGCCTGCTGCCGTTCTGTGTGTTTGCTCAAAGAGCTGCCTTTGGGATCTCAAGGTCTGCACCTGGATATCCTTTTGCCAGTGCTGTCACCTAGAACTCAAGCCATGCACTGACCCATTTGTACTGGCAGGAATTGGGAACCTGTGGGGTGGAGGCCCCTTTTTGCCTGCTTTTCTCCACGAAGGGCTTTGGGGCCGTGTCCTGGGCTGGCAGCCGCCCCACCAGCTGGGACCTGTCGCTCGGGCACAGAACTAAAAATACCAAAGCTGGGTGCCAGTGCCGGGAGGAGGATGCTGCCTTTAGCAGCTGGCCCTGCGTTTGTGGCTTTATTTAGATCCATCTTTATTTATTTCCCCCAGTTGGGAGGGAGACGGGGCTGGCTTTAAATCCATTTTTCTGAGATATCATCCCAATATTACACTGGGTTTCCCCGCTTGTCCTATCCTATCTGGATGTATTTTCTCAGCAAGATGCCTTATTGAGAACATGGGTAGGAGCAGCGCTGTAATTTCATCTTACAGAGATGCAATTAAACTTCATGGTTGGGCTGGAGCCCCATGATAGCAATGGGAAAATAACTGTCCGTGGGACACATGGGCTGATGGGAGCTTATGTCAACTGTCAAAACAGTAACTGACCTTATAGTGGGATCAGACCTGGGCTGAGCATCACATTGCCATCCTCCTCCCTGAAAGCAAGAAGCATTCGTGTGCTGGACCCAGGCTGCAAGCAGAGCTGTTCCCGGAGCATCTTTTTCTGGTGTCCAGGTGGCTTTGTAATCCATTTTTTTTTTTTTTTTTTTTTTTTTTTTTTTTTTTTTGTGAGGCACTTCTTTTGGGGGTGTATTTTCTATTGAGTCTTGATTTGTGTCCATAGGGATAAACTTGGAGCTTCTCATCCCCAGTGGGGTGATATGAACTCATAAAGGGGGGAAAAGGCCAGCTTGATGCTTTTTGGGGTATTGCAGTGGCATTGGGCCATGCTTCCCATTCCCACAGCACCCATAGATGTGCAGTCCAGGGCTTGGGGTTGCATAGGGCACTTGTGCACATGGGGAGGATTTGCTACTGCTGTTTGCAAAAGGTTTTGCAGCTCTTTTTGCAGGTGAAATGTAAAACTGAGTAGCTTGCAGCATGGTGGTGGTATCTGTTGTTCACTGGGTAGTGGCAGCTTTTGGGACCCACTTGGGTTTTTGTGGGCTTTGGGATCTCTTTTGTTCTTTGCAGGTCTTGGGGACCCATTTGGGTCTTTGCAGCTTTTGGGACGTATTTTGCCCTGTTGTGATTTCTCTCCCATTGCACCCTCCCTTGGTCTCAGGATTCTGCCCTGCCCTTCCACTTCCTCCTGGTGACCTTTTGGGGCATCTCGTGTTACTGGAGCAGACGAACCATTGATCGCACGGAGGACGTTTGGCACTTCCCACTCCCTGAGCATGGCTCAGTCCTTCAGGATGAATACCTGAAGCTGGGAGGGGACGGAACTTGGCCATGCATGGGTCAGGTTGGCCATATGCATGCGTAAGATTGATCTGGTGATGCAGTCTTGCTGTGCACCTGAGAGCATTGTTTCTGCTTCCTTGCAAGGTTTTGCAGCACTGGAGCAGGATCTGATTCACTGTAGGGTCCTGGGGGATGTCCAAGGGATGAATATGAGGTTGCTCTATCTTCTGAATCCATTTTTCCTTTCCTTTCCTGCAGGAAAGGCTCAGGGAAGGGCCCAGGTGGAGAGTGTGGACCCCCTGTGCCATGGCTTCATCCCAGCTGCCCCCCTGCCCCACAGTAGGTACTGTCCTTGCTTCGCAGCCCCCCAGCGAGCTTCCCCCTGGTGAGGAGGACCTGGGTGAAGCCTTTGACTTCGAGGACAGTGACGAGGAGGAGGACGAAGATTCAGCCACTGAGCCAAGCAGGGGTGCAGTGCTTCAGGCCCCTCCTCGCAGGCACCGTGCCACCAGCTGCAGCACTGGTGAGGTCCCATTGTTTCCCAAGTGTCTGCTTTGGCTGGCCAGGCTCATGAGCTCAGCCACTAACCTGATTTCTCTTTGCTTTCTTACCCTACAGAGGGGCTGGTGCCGGACACCCAGGAAGGGTATGTGTAGTTCTGGGGAGAAAATGCGATTTTGGAGGTCACCCCCTTCCTTAGCATGTCCCAGCCTGGTGCTGTGCCTCAGTTTTTCTATTGTATTTCCATTGCTTCATTGCTGCTTATAAAAGGACTGGGGGTGTGGGATCTGAGGTTGAAGCACACAAGAATTTGGGGGGTGTTGCAGGGGGATTTCAGGGTACCTGAGGTGGGTTTTCACACAGGCACATAGGGGGAAGATACAAATCTGACAGCGAGAGGCATGTACAGGATGCAGCAAAGTGGGGAAACCAAGTCCAGCTTCACTGGAGCATCTTTCTCTTCATCTTCAGCTTTGTGTAGAACAAAGATTTAAAAAAAAAAAAAAAAAAAAAAAGCCTTTTTTTGACACTTGTGCATCAACCCTGTGTGGTTTTTTTTTTTTTTTTTTTTTTTCTGGGCCAGCCCTAACCACAGGGTCTCCAAGCCCCAGAGCAGCAGGCTTTCTGCAAAGCACTGCCTTTTGTTTGTACTTTTTTTCTTCCTTTGTATCGAGCTGCATCCCTCCCTGAGGGGACTCCCTGCTTTTGCAGTTTGCAGTTCAGCCGGAAAGCCAGAGGCATTGACCTCACATCTTTAACACGTCAGCTTTTCTGCCGGTGCAAAACTTCCTCCATAGGTTGCAGCTGAGTCTGCACCCTGGGTGAGGTGGGGGCTTAATTTTGCCAAATGGGGGTGAGCCCCTCGTGTTGTGGAGTGGTGGGGTTTGGGGCATGCATGCACAGTGGGGACTTGTGCAAGCTCCTTTTGATGTTCTTGGGGTTTTGCACTGATGGTGTCTTTGCCCTCCCTACAGGCTGCCAGAGCGGGTGAGCAATGGGGAAGCCTGTGAGGATCCCCATGACATCAAAACCCAGACCTGGAAGAGGAAAAGCGGCCACCAGGGTGGGTTAAAACACCTGGGGTGAGGGGGAGAACACAGCTCTAACCCCACATCCCAGCCTGGCTGTGGGATTGGGGAACAGTTTCCGCACCCTAGCCGGATTTTTGAGTCCTGATGGGGATTTCTGGGGCTGTTTCCCTGTTTTTTCCCTCTCTCAAGGTGATCGCTTTGAGTTCACGGCGGCAGAGGACGATGTGATTTATGACGACGTCGCCTGTGAGAACCTCGACGCCAACCAGGATGGTAGGAACAGCCCCAGGCCCTCTTCTTGTTGGGGCTGTGCACCCATTTCACAGACGGGCAAACTGAGGCCGTGGGAGCAAAATCCACATCCTGTACTGCTACAAGGGTCCAAAAAGGAAAAAAACAGCAGAAAAGCAGCTGGGATGATGGGGTTACAAGTCCATAGGGAAAAGCAGGATTTTGTCTAACAGGGCGCAGCCTGATCTACGAGGACGTGCAGCGTGGCGAGGAGCTGGGCTGGAGCTCCAGCGAGTTTGAGAGCTACAGCGAGGAGTCGGGTGAGGAGAGCAAGCCAGAGGCTGAGCCAGCCAAGCACCGGGCCGCCTTCCAGCCCAAGGTGAGGCTCTGTTAATTATTCTCATCTATCGATTTTATTTTTTTTTTTTCCCACAAGTTTACTGGACATGTCTCAGGGCTTACTCTCCACATGCTCTCACATGATGCACGATCAGCATAGCGCTGCTTTTGGATTTGATTTCTCTATTTTTCCTTTTCCTTCCCCTTTTTTATTTTCCCTTTTGCATCTCAACGCATGGCTGCTGCTCCCTGCTCACTCCCCTTCCCTGCCAGATTATGGGAACCCACTACCCGTATTGTGCTGCTTTGGAACGATTTCATGGCTTCTCTTTTTTTTTTTTTTTTTTTTTTTTTTTTTTATTT